CCGCCCCGCCCCGCCCCGCCCTGCGCGCCCCGCTCTCTGCTCTTTCTACCTGCTCAACCAACAGTGCACTTTGCAGCCGGGCGCGCCTCCTTGAGGCTTCAGTCCAGAGCAGCTGCCAGGTTCCCTGCACCGCTTCAGCCCTTTCCAGAGGATCTGGCTGTGTTGGGGGCCCTCTGACACTGAGGTTGCGTCCCCTCTGCATGAGATCTGCACACACAGACTGGTGGCGATGGAGTTCGGTTTCCAGAGCCTAGCACGGTTAGGGGGTGAAGAGAGGGAGAGAGTGACAGTTCCAAGTCTGACAGGCAAGGATGTCAGGATGTCAGGATGTCAGAGTCAGAGCGAGGGAGTGGACAGCCACCTTGTGTTTCCGCAGAGCCGTAGAGATCTGAGAGAGGTCCCGGCCCAGGGCTGCCTTCTCCATTAGCTGTCTGTGCTCCCTTAACCAGGCCTCCTCCTCCTCACAGCTGTGCAGGAACTGTGCCAGCTGCAGGGTCTGCTCTAGCCGGGTGCGTCTGAGGGACAGAAAAGCCAAGGAAGGGTTTGGGGAAGAGCAGAGCACAGAAAGGGGTTGGCCCATTTGCATCAGACATGCATGCACCTTAGGTAGGATTTCCCCAGAATGGCTTAACAAGTAAGCCCTGAAGTCTTGGGGGCTCAGGAGCAGTATAGCGGAGGTTGCCAGACCAGGATTTCGGCTTGGGCAAGAGATAATTAAAGTTTCAGGAAAGCGCTACAGACGGGTGAGGAGTTGGGGCGGGCTCTTACCTGGCTCTGACAAGAGACACGAGGCTGTGGTGAAGCTCAACCAGTGCCAGGGCTTTAGCCTGCAGCATCTGCACATGGGTGCCCTGGGAAGAATTCAGTTGCGCTGTGTGGTGGGCAAGGCAGTTCACTTGGGTCCTGTGGGCTGAGACCTGGGCCTCCAGTAGGTCATGCTTCTGCAGCAGCAACACTACTTCGGCCAGCTGTTGCCCACAGGCTGTGGAGCTGGCCAGCACCTGGCCAGAGAGGAGTCTCATTGCATTTCCAGGTGCTGGGTACCTGTGAGCACCAGCAGGTGTGGGGGGGAGGGGAGGCAGGAGGACCTCCCAGAGTTCAGCTGATCTGCCCACCTGCAGCTCCCCAAGCTGGTCGGTGGTAGCCTCCACCTCCTGCAGTAGGCTCAGCACAGCCTGTGTGTCTGCCAGCTGCTTCCTCTGCTCCTGTAGACACTGCAGGAGCTTCCGCCAGCGCCCAGCGATCTCCTTCTGCCTAGATAACAGGAGGTGAGCTCCAGCAGGCTGGAGCAAGGGAGTTCGGCTGTCCTGGAACAGTGACGCCTCTGGAGCCAGGGTAGGGTATAGATGTCAAAGGCTTGGCATGGGAGAGTATGTTCACAGTCAGAAGGAGCCTGGAGAGTTCAGATGCCCAGATCCTCACCTCTTTGGTGTCTAGTCCATCTCCATGGATGAAAACTATCTTTCCAGATACACAGACTAAAACTATAACAGCTCAGTTCTTAACCCCAGATCTGTTTGCAAATCCTGCTTGGTACTATCGTCAAAATATATCCCTGGTCTGGGCTATCACACTTGTAATCCCTGGACAAAGGAGATGCTGAATTGCCAGTTTTGAAGCCAGCCTGGTCTATATAGTGAGTTCTGTCTGTTTGAGACCCTGCCTCAAAAGCAAAATAAAGTCATATTCAGAATGCTGTCACTTTCGTCACCGCACTGCTTCCCACCCAGGATTCTACACTGACCTCTTATAGTCCCATGTTTGCTCGCTCTCTCTCTCTCTCTCTCTCTCTCTCTCTCTCTCTCTCTCTCTCTCTCTGTCTCTCTCTCTCTCCCTGAACCAAGGGCCTTGCATATCTTGCATATGCTATACATATGCTACCACTGAGGTAGACTCCAGATCCTAATTTTTGTTTGTTTGTTTTTGAGACAGGGTCTCACTAGGTAGCTCTGGCTGGCCTAGAACCTGCTCTGTAGAGCATTCTGTCCCTGCAACTCGTAGAGATCCACCTGCCTCTGCCTCCCGAGTGCTAGGATTAAAAGTGTGTGCCACCACTGCCTGGCCCCAGCCCTTATTTTTTAAACTGCTTTCACATACTTATTGATTTATTTTCTTTGTTGTTTTCCTTGAGAATGCTTTAAGCTTCAGGAGGGGAGAGATTTTTGCCTGCCCACAGCACTGCTAAGTGTTTGATAATGGTGTGCAGGGATACAGTGTGGACATTGAATAAATGCCGTTTGGTGAGTGTGCTGACTAATGAGAGGCTAACCAGAAAGACCAGTGCTTTACCAGAGTGGGTAAATTACACCTGGTGTGAATTTGTGCATTCATGAGATTATCTCATTAGCAGGAACCCTGAGGCCACAGACCACCCCACTCTTCTGTGCATTGTGGGGAGTCTTTGGCTTGCTGTGAGGATGGGTTTACTTGCTTGGAGCTCACCTGCGGGCCACATCTACCCAGCCGTGATACTGTTCCTGCTGCAGGATGTCTGCAATCTCTCCCAAGGCCTGGAAGCGCCCTTCCTGGGGCAGGATGCTAGCTTCCAACATGTGCAGCCTCTGAGTGGCTGCCTCCCCTGTGGATGGGTTGGTGAGGGAGTCTCTGGCCTGGTCTAGCATCTTCGCTGACTCATTTAAAAAGCTTTCCCGGAGGGCTGCCTTGCACTGGAAGCGGCAGGCCAGGGTGTCCAGTCGCTCTAGCTGTAGCAGCCTGTGCTGCATGGCCTGGCTCCGGGAGGCCTCTGCCCTCTCTAGGTCTGCCCAGCGCTGAGCCAGTTCTGCAGGGCCCAGGCCCTCTCGAGGTAGGAATGGCCTTCGGTTTTGGGCTCGGAGTGTTGTCTGCAGCTGGAAGAGCAGGGCCTCTATGGCTCCTCGCTGCTGCAGCCGAGGTGGCTTTTCCTGGGCATGGAAGGAGGCAAAGGCTGCCAGTAGCTGGCGCATGGCAGGCAGTGAGTCCGGGAAGTCCCGAGCCTCTAGCTGCATCTGCTTCTCTCCAATCCAGTAGAGCAGGTCAGCCACCAGCTGCTCGTATTGAGCTTGCAGTTCCTCTGTCTCCTGGAGTTGCAGCAGGATCTGGTGGAGGGCAGAGCTCTGGTCAGGCTGCACCCGGGGTGGGCCTCAGGATAAAAGCCCTATCACTGGGGGCTAAATGCCAGGCAGAGCTGTCCAGGTGGCTGGAGCTCCTTCTCTCATCTGAGGATGCACAAGAATACCCCCCTCGCACCCCACAGGGTGGCAGGGACATTGTACACTCAGACCCACGAGTCTACAGTACTCTCTCCACAACTGGGCCAAGATCACGTCTTGCCTTCTTCCATCTAATTTTACCCCTTCAGCTTTATTTGTAGGTTGAGCTCCCTCAGCCTTCTTGCCCCTCCTTCCCTGTGCCTCCCCCCTTAAATGAGCTCCCAGTTCTTGACCCCACACCAACATTAGGACACTAACCCTGAGGACAGCCCTTCCAGGTCTCAGACTCTGCCATCGCATCCATAGTGTGAGAGAGCCCCCCAAAAGCATGGACGCAGTGTAGTGCCTGCTCAACAGAGCCTCTTCGAGGCCTGTCCTTGAAGATTTGGCTCTCTAAGCCCTTTAATCCCATTACAAGCTTAACAGTTTTTGAGGGCAGTGGAGGCAGAAGGCCAGAAAGGGTCACTGCTCCCCTGGCTTCTCATGTATGCCAGGCACCATGCTAGGTAGTTACTAACACTCCCTTGGACACTAAACAGCCTTCCATCATGCAGGAGTTGTCACCTGTATGTCACACATGGAGCACAGAGAAGTGAGGCAATTTGGCCAAGGCCATGGAGCCAGTAAGGCACAGGGACAGTCAGGCAGACCTGTCCCCTTTATCACCAACCTTAGCCAGCCTCCTCTGGGCTGTCTGCCCCTGGTGCAGGCGGGAGAAATAGTGGTAGTACAAGGACACATAGGTCATGATGGAGCGCTCATCTGGATGCAGGCCTGCCACGTCCTCAGGGTCCAGCAGCTGGGCAATGCCTAGCTCTTGCTCAGCCACTCGGAAGGCAGAGGAGAGGTTGTGCACAGGGTGATCCAGATTCAGTGAGGCATAGTCCAGCAGGTCTGGCCTGGGCAGAGAGCAGGAAGTTTCCTCAGAAGAGTGGCCTGCTTTGGTTTACATTAGCCATCACTGCTTATTGTGGTAACGTTTTCTTCTGATAGTTCTGTGAGCCTCACACTGGAGCATAGGCAGGGCTTGATAGGAGGGAGGGTTAATGTGGCAGAGGGGCTAGGACACAGGATGTAGTGGGGTGACCCCCAAAGGGCAGACACTAGCTAGAGAGAGGACAGGAAGGAGACAAAGCACAGGAAGCAGAGAAGGCATGGGTCAAAGGCAAAGCTGGCCCCTAAGGGACGGAAGAGGGGCAGGCCTAGAGCAGGGATCAGACCAGGTACTCTCCATTTATGGCCCCCTTTGTCCTTCTCTTTCCAGGCCCCTGAGTGCAGAGGTTGTGTGGAAGAGCAGGAAACATTCCAGCCCTGGGGCTCTGGGCTCAGTGAGTGGAGGCTTTTAGGCACCTGTGAGCATGGAGGAGGGCATTAAAGCCAAGCCCATCGCTCCAGCTGTGAGAGAAGTCGGTGATGGTCACATTGGTGTAGCTCGCTGTCTTCCGCTGGCACCAGGCCAGCAGGGCTTCCTTAGCAGACAGCAAAGCTGCACTGGCCCCGAACTCCTCCTGGCAGAACAGGGCAGTGTGGTCAATGTGTGGGGTGGGTGGAAGGCATGAGAGCCTGTAGGCTGTAACAAGGGAAAGGCTTTGAAGCCTGCATAGGGGCTTTATTAAGAGTGAAAATGGGAGGCCGGGCGTTGGTGGCACACACCTTTAATCCCAGCTCTCGGGAGGCAGAGACAGAAGGATCTCTATGAGTTTGAGGCTAGCCTGGTCTATAAAGCTAGCTCCAGGACAGGCTACAAAACTACAGATAAACCCTGTCTCAAAACAAACAAAATCAACCCCCCAAAAGAGTAAAAATGAGAGCTATAGGGAGCTATAGGAAGGTGGGGACAATGGCAGGGACACACTGAGACTTTCTATGAAAGGATGCTGGGGAAGGCCAGAGGAGCCTCTGAAGATAGAGCTTTCATCTCTGGACCAAATACCCAACAGGCTTCCCGAGGGATCTCGGACAGATTCACAGGACAAAGGAAAAGTCTGATTTTTTTTTTTTTTTAAATATAACCTTTTAGGGATGGAGGGAAGACTGGCAACATGTGACTTAGTTAAGTATAGCATATGTGACCAGCAACATAAGGAGCCACACATCATACATTGAGAGCTGTCAAGTCACAGCCTTGATTATTTCATAACTCTGTCCCAGAGGGAGCAGAGGGAGGTGTGGCCTGATTCAGACTACACGATCAGGTTTAAGGAAAAGGCCTATGGTCTAACACCTCAGGTTTTTAAAAGAAAGTTGCTTATTTCCCATTAATGCTCTATCATGGTATTTTTAGTGTGATGTACTATATTTAGTACTGTATTTGGTATATTTCTTTCTCATGCTTTCCTATCTCAAGGCCCTTCCTAATAAAACTAATTCCTGAAGAGTAACATGTCTGCTCTTTTCACTAACCAACAACCCTTCTGATGGGCCAACCACGAGCTAACTGAACTAAATACAAAGTGGGTCTCACCTCACTCCGGTCATCCAGGCTTTCCATAGGCCAGGGACAAGGCCTTTTGACCTCTTATCTCTCTACTCTGTGGCAGTTACCGTTGGTATTTATACACTTTCACACACCACTGAGGTGGAGTCTCTTTATATATTTAATTTCCTCTGGTGGTGCCAGTGAGGTGTGTAAGAGAAGCTAGGACACTGTCTGGGTCCCAGCTAATCGGGGAGAAGGCCTGAGGTGGCTGCAGAGGGCTCTGGGAACTGAACTTGGGTTATCAGGCTTAGCAGCAAGGGCCTTTGCCCACTGAGCCAATTCATGGGCCTTTAGATGGTGAGTTTTGAGGGGTCCGTGACTTTTTAATTAGTGTCTCACTCTCCAGCTTGTCTTGCCCAACCCACCGGCGTGGAGTTGGGGGTGGTGCTTTGGAAATCATAAAACAGAAACTTGATAGATAAATGGACATTCTGCTTGTATTTTCTGACCCAGGTAGAGGGGGAAAGGAGGGATAGGAAAAGATGGAGACCACGAAAATACTGTCTCAGTGGTCTTCAAGATCCTGGGGACTTCATAAGCCTCTGAGCTAGAGTCCCTTTATGTATCTAATTTCCTCTGCAGGCACATTATGGTGTAGTGAAGGTGGCAAGGATTCAGGGCCAAACAACAGACCAGGAATGGAAGTGGGATGTGGCCAGCCACTCTGCCCCTCCCCAGTGAGTGACTTGTCTCCTGTCAGTCTGAAGCCCTGACTCTAGGTCTTGTTTTAGACCTGACAACTGCTCCTGGATGAAGAGTGAATGTTCATTTAACGAACACCAGGGGTCAGCTGTGGGATCATTAGCCTGGGTGGAACTGCTCTGTCCCCAGAGGCCTGAGGTGAAGCCATGGCTGGGCGAGGCCATGAGGTATTGGAGAGGGAGACATACCTTGTCCAAGGAGATTTGGGAGATCTGGAAACGGAGAATGATGACCCAGAGGAGTCCCAGGATGAGTGACTGGTCTCCATCCACAATGTTTTCCGGCCCAATGAAGGGTATGGGCACCTGTGGGCATGGTTGACTGGGCTAAACCATGAAGCCTGTGTTCCCGAGAAACCTGGAGTCCAGGAGGCTGAGATGGGAGGGTCCTGGAATCCAGCCTCCTCCAGCCAGAGGTCCTCCAGGGAGAGCAGGCAATGGACAATGCCAGCAAAAGGATGGCTTTTTCAATAGTTGGGACATTGGTCCAAATCTCCCTGGGTGGTCTCTAAGCAGGTAAACGAGCCTGGGTAATGGACCCTGATATGTGGGGCTACAAATGAGAGTTCTCAATGAGCTAAATGGACAACAGCCAGAGTCTGCCTTCTCCCAATGCCATTGCATCTCAAGGGGGTGGCTGGGTCCCTGGATCACCCCTAAATGTTAGTCTTCAGTCAGTATTTCCTCTCCAATCTAACTATTAGAACTCCCCAACTCCACCTAGCCAGATCCTCTAGAGCCGAGGCCCAGGAATCTGCATTTGAGCAAACAGATCTTGTCCCTTAGGGGAGAGGACTGGTTAATTTGGGACAGATACAGCAGGATCTCACAGAATATGCGTGGTACCCTCTGGCTCCATGTTCTCTACCAAATAACACAGCACCAAGGCGGAAGAACTCTGAGATCAGCACTCCGGCTCTGCTTGTGGCATCCCCAGTGCCTGATTCTAACATGGGCCTTAGTGTCCTTGAACAGGCTGGCTGTCTCAGCTGTCTGAAAATACTACCCCGTCAGATGTCCACTTGATTATTTCCCTATCTTCCCTCCCAAACTAGAGGCCTCTAGTTTGGCGTTGCTTTGCCAACACGGCCTACTCTGACCATCTTATTTGCAGTTGAAACCATGTTTCCCTTCCACCTCAACATACTACACATCTGCTTCCATCTTTTGCTACACAAACAAACACCCAATGTAATTCTGTAGTGGGGATGTGGGTTCTGCTCCCCAATACATCCTCAGTCCTAGTAATACCAGGTAGTAACGCATACCAGGTAGTAACGATGAGCTGAATGAACAAAGAAAGGAGAGACGTCCTGTAAGACCAGAACAGCTGTGAGCTGGTCATTAGCCATTATGGAATTTCACTAGGCATTGTGGGTACACTCAGGAATGCACCTAACACTTCCCTCTCTCCCTGGCCCACTCATTCCTCTGTATTCACCTTAGCTTGGAGGTATGATACCTGGCTAAAGGAGTGCACATCTGTTCCTTCCAGCTCTCCAGAGTCAATTCCCTCAACTCTGGCTTTAGCAATATCAGCTGATCAATGAACTTGATCGTGGTGGGAGGAAATATTCAGACTTTAGTGTGATGGTGGTGGTGGTGGTGGTGGTGGTGTGTGTTTATATATGCATATGTGTGTTGAGATAACACACATCCAGTATTAGTATTCTATGTTACCCAGGGTAACCTCAACTTGAAATCCTCCTGCCTCAGCTTCTTTTGTGCTGGTATTAATGATGTGAAGGTCCACACCCAGCCCAGGAATTGCTCAACAACTGACTCTAGGGGGAAATCAAAGCTGTGGTTTTGCTTGGGGCAACTCCCTTGTCCAGTCTTGAGTACAGTCGCCTTGGATGTCCAGAGAGTGAGGATATCACCGCCGCAAGTGTCAGTGGCCTGTTGTATAACAAAACTCATAAAGAAGCTGGGTATGGAGGTATATTCCTGTAATCCCAGCATTTGGGACGTGGAGGTAGGAGGGTCAAGATTTAAGGCCAGCATATGATACAGGAGTTTTAGTAGCCTAGGCTGCAGTGTGACCTGTCAAAAACAACAATAGGCTCAAGAAGAGCCGCAGTGCTCACATCCATCCTGGATTCCTGCAGGGGGATAACTGGCTCACAGGGCCATTGTCCCTGGATCTGAACAGGGCTGGCTTTCTGGTCCTCTGGGTGCTGGCAGTTGCTCTCCCTCCAGTGGCTTTTGTCCCCCTTGTTTCCAGGCTCCAGAGTGTTGCATGTCACTTCCATCAGGATGTAGGAGTCATGCACACTTAGCCTCAACCCAGCTTGGGCCAGCTCTACTGCTTTACAACTTCTGGGCCAACTACCTCACATCTTCAGTACCCAAGGCCAGGAGCCAGCTCACCAATATAAAAGGACCTTGCACAGCCCAGTGGCACTGGCCATGAGGGCCCCTCTGCCGTGGGAACTCTTGCCTCTTTTTAATGACCATCTCTTTGATTTGACCCTTTCCAGGTGACTCTGGTGCCCTCCTGAAGCTCTTCTCTATGCCAGCCTCTTGTGGGGACAAACACACCTGGACTCTGCTACTTGGCTGACCATGGATCCTGCCTGGTAAATCATTCTGGATCTACATGTCAGGTTTAAGAAAGGAGAAGGTTAAGGGCAGTCAGATTTTTTTCATCGAAGAATCCTGCAATCCTCCCTTATTAGACCGGCATGTTTTCAGTCCTCACAGGGACATAGATTGTTCCTGCTGTGGCCAGCTGGTGGCTCTCTAGGTCAAGTGCACTGTGCAAGGAGGGCTTTACTCCCAGCTCTTGTACCTCGGCTGCACCTCTGGTATTCAGCCCAGATCTCCAGCTCTGCCTGAGGCCTAGCCCTCAGATGATGACCTCTGGTTGCTGCTTACTCAGCTATCTACCCCGAAATCCCCTTCCCAGAACAAACCTTGGCCCTGAGGAAGGCCAGTGCGTGGCTGTTGTTCTCCAGGAAGTGCACACGCAGGTGGCCTGGGCTGGGTGCTGGCAGGGCCTCCCCAGAGATAAGCTCCAACAGCCGCAGCAGGTGGACACCGTCAGCAAGCTCTGTGTACAGGTCCTGGATCCTGATACCCACCTGATGAGTGGATTGGGACAGAGGTGGGGTCAGCCCAGCATCTCCTGCCCACCCCATTTTAAAGCCTCCAAGGGGCAAGCCAGAACAGCTAGAGGCAGGGGATCGATCCCAGAGCAGACCCCAGGCCGCTGGCCAGAACTGGAGGCACATGGGCCGTACTCACCCGGCCCAGTCGGAAGATGTTGTTGATCCAGTTGGTGAAGGTCTTCTCTTGCATCTGTGCATGCTGAGCCTGGAGCTTGCGGACATGGCCAATCTCATACTCAGAGTCCATGGCCAAGCTTGGACTCAGCAGGGCTGAGCTGCGGGCCTGGGTCTCCTCCTCAGGGACACTGCTGCTGAGGAACCGGAAGGTTGAAGGGCAACTAGCCTATGAACCCATAGCTCTCTGAGAGTGAATGGCAACTGGACATTTCCCTGTGTCTGGATATGGGGAGCATGGAGGCTGGGGAGCACTGTGGGCACTGATGAACCTCCTGCCAGAAGCCGGAGGCCTGTCCTGCCACTTGTCCCCACGAAGGATAGGAATTATGGGTTGGAGCCTAAGCAGGTTAAGAAGCCTGACTGGTAGCCTGCACTTGAATGACCCGGCAACCCCATACCCCAACTTCCCAGATTCTTCTCTGAACCCCTGCTGCTAGTCTTAACCACCACAGCCGTTGGTCCCCGTTCTTTGGCTTAATTTTGGCAGGCAGAGGGAAGAAGACAGGGGCTGCTCACCTTGGCAGTTGATGTCTGGGTCCTTGCTAGGAAGCCTCACTGTCAGATGGAGATACAAGATAGCAGGGCCCGGGGAGTGAGGGAGAGAGGCAACTAGAAAGGTCAGTCTGGAGCTGGAACAACAGTGTGGCCCTCCCCTTTGCCAGCCTGTCAGGGGTAATGACACACAGGCAGCATTGTCCTCCCACCTGCCACAGGGTGGAGCCCAGACAGGAGGGGGTGGCTCAAGAATGCTCTAGGCTCATTGCTAGGGGGTCTCCTCCTTCATTCTATACCCCATCCCCTGGCTGCTTCCCCTGCTGGCAGTTTTGCTGGCTATGGTGAGAACACTGCAGGATGCTGAAGTCTGAATGAGACATCAAGGGCCAGGGCTTCTGGCTGAAAGCTGTGGACTCACGTCCTCTTCCACACCCCATCCTAGCATGATGGAAGGAGCAAACTGACTGACAGCCCCTCCCTAGCCTGAGAACAGACACAGGGAACCATAACGTCCTGTGCTCCAGTTTCCCAGGCTCTGGCCAGATCTGGGCCACAAGCTCAGCTCAGCCAAGCACTGAGAAGGCAGTCAGTGACAGATGCATCGTGACAGGAGAGGGTTCCCAGCAAAGCAGCTCCTCTGTAAGCAACAATCCCCTTCCAAATGCTGCCTGCCAGAGGCCCTGCTCTCTCTTTTCACAAGCCTTTGACACAGGAACACCTCCCTGTACCCACTCCCAGAGCCTCCAAGGACATTCACTGACATTTCAGAGACTATGGCCCAAGTTTAGTTAGTTGTGTGTAACCCCCAGGGCAGGAGCTCACTCTTCCTCTGACTGCAGCACAGGCGGGATCTCACGGCCCTCTGCATGGCCTGCCTGGAGCCCCAGACCATGGTCAGCTCCATGGAAGATTCTGGAGGAGATGTCGGTCTTTCAGGTCCAGTTCCTGTTTGGTAGGGGAAGCCTCACCTTCAGCCATTCCATGCTGAAGGTGCCCAGTCTCATCTGTAAGGGAAAGCTTTCAGAAAAGCCCTCGGCCCCTCCAGATTTGTGTGATGTGAGGTCTGAGGTCTGAGCTGTATGGCGCTCTGCTGATAGGGTTAAGCAGAGGTGACGGTTTAGTTGTTGGATGTGGGGCTTGAGGGATGGTTCAGCGGTTAAGGGCACTGGCTGCCCTTGCAGAGGACCTGGGTTCAGTTTCCAGCACATGTGACTGACAGCCACCTGCAACTCCAGTTCCAGAGCATCTGGTGTTCTCTTCTGGCATCTGCAGGCACCAGGTACCCATGCAGTACACATACACACAGGCAAGCCTTGTACACATAAAATAAAAATAAATCTTACAAAAAGAAGTTGTTGGATTAGGACTAGAGGACTGCTCTCCTCCCCACACCTCCCTGTCTAGAGCTACTGATACTGTGCAAGGACCAGCTCCTCTTTGGCTGTGAATGAGTAAGCCCTTGGTAAAAGGTCAATGCTGTTTGGAATCTTTGCCAAGTGACTGCAGTTTCTTTATTCCTTTCCTTTCCTTTCCTTTCCTTTCCTTTCCTTTCCTTTCCTTTCCTTTCTTTTCCCTTTCCTTTCCTCCCCCCTCTCTCTTTCCTTCTTTCTTTTTTGAGACAGGGTTTCTCTGTATTGCTTTGGAGGTTGTCCTGGAACTTGCTCTGTAGACCACACTGACTTGGAACTCACCTGCCTCAGAGATCCGCCTGCCTCTGCCTCCCGAGTGCTGGGATTAAAGGCGTGCACCACCAATGTCCGGCTGTGACTGTATTTTCTATTTGAGCTGGATTGAGTTATATAGATGGAGTGTATTGGCCCATAATTGAAAACAACCTAGCAGGAATAGGACTTCAGGATGCTAATCCCAAATGATGTCACTGCAGATCTAGGTTTCCTTGCTCAATGCCTCTTTTCTGCCAGCCCAGCCTCCTCCCCTAGTCCCCTCCTCTCAATGCCATTTATAGCGTTGTACCAATAAGGCCCCTGCTTTACATTACAGTTCCAGAGAAGAGGGAATAAGGAACACCTTCCTAAATGCTGGGGTGGTGGTTCTTCAGAATTGAATTGGGAAAACTGTTTTGAACTGGTGTCTCTGACCTGGGGGGATGAAATACTTTAATTGACTTAGGCTAAATAGGACCCATTCTGGAACAAGGGGAGGGCTCTACTACACCCAAACCTCAAGGTTTGGGGTGAGAATGAAAAAGGACTATGCCGTGAATGACAGTCCATGTTGGCATCATCACAAGGGCACATGGGTGACAGTGGGAAAAGCCCTGTGTCCCCACAGATGGTGCACACTTGTGGCTTGTGACAGAGTTCTGCATCTAGGAGTGTGCTCAGCGTTGCTCCACCCCACAACCCAGCAGTACCCATGCCCACAGTCCCTTCAGCCTTCACTTTCGATCTCTCTCAGGTGAGGTTTGAGCCTCAGCAGGGTGCAGGAGGGACTGGGGTCACAGATGGCAAGGAGAAGAGGCACACCTCTCTGGACTCTTCCACCTCCTTTCAAAATGGACCCAAAGGACCACTTTGCTCTGGAAAAGTGGGCACAGCTACAAGAAGCCAGAGCCACTGTGGATCAACACTTTCAAATAAGATTTTAAAAAATAGCTGGGGGTTGGTGGCACATGCCTTTATCCCAGCACTCGGGAGGCAGAGGCAGGCAGATCTCTGTGAGTTTGAGACCAGCCTGGCCTACAGAGCAAGTTCCAGGACAGCCTCCAAAGCTACAAAGGTTTTCGAGAAACCTTGTCTCGAAAAACCAAAAAAAATAAAAAATAAAAAAAATAAAAAAAAAATAGAGGCATTGCATATTTACTGTTGCCAAATACTATGTAATCTGACAAGCTCTTCAATTGGGCCTTGGGTTACTTGAATAAACTCAGGCTCCCCATTCTGGGGTCTTGCTGTTGCACTGAAGCATGAGGTGATACTGTCGGGCCATCTGCCTACCCCACGAGCTACCCCGTGGCCAAGTCCAGTTTCCTTCTCCTTGGGCTCAGCAGGACTTCACTGGTAGGCGAGGAGGGCAGGACCTAGCTGAAGAGCTCCCTTCTCCTCACCTGCAGAGGATCCCGTGATCCAGTGCCATATAGTGGTTACAGACATGGTCTTTGGAACCAGGGAAAGCATGAAATAGCAGTGTAGTCACAGACAACACACTTCCACCTTTCTTCCTGTGTATAAACACTCTGAGGTGGCGTCTTTGAAAACTGGGGTGATGTGGCCTGTGGTTTGGATATGAAAAGTACTGAGGGCTTGGTCAATAGAGAGGTGTTTGGACCTAAGGGCCCTGACTTTACCCATGGATGAAGGTGAATGGGTGATGAGGAGGCAGGGTCACTGAGGCTTGCCTTTGTGTGTCTCCTGTCTTGGGTCTCCTTCCTCTCTTGCTTTTTTTGTTTGTTTGTTTGTTTGTTTTGTTTTTTGAGACAGGGTTTCTCTGTGGCTTTGGAGGCTGTCCTGGAACTAGCTCTTGTAGACCAGGCTGGTCTGAAACTCACAGAGATCCACCTGCCTCTGCCTCCTGAGTGCTGGGATAAAGGCATGCGCCACCAACGCCCCGCCCTTCCTCTCTTCTTGGCTGCCATGTGCTCCTGCCTCACCTCAGGCTCACAGCAATGGAGTCAGCTGAATGTACCTTTGCATGTTTCTCTGAGCTGAATTCTCCCAACAGTTGGCAAATTTAAACTTTCTCTCCTAGAAACTGACTTCAGTCAAGTGTTTCTGTGACATGCAGAAAACTAACACACAAGGGTGGGACAATACAGTCAAAGTCAGCAGAATCGTGGTGTGTGTGTGTGTGTGGGGTTTGAACAGTCTAGGAACTTTGTGTTTGTTCTGGGGAGATAACAATCTTTCATTTTGTCACCATCTCTGGTGTTTTCCTTTCTGGAAACTTATGATGAACAAGAGAATATTATGGAAAATAGATCCATGATTTCTTTTTCCTTGGGAACATCACCAGGTCAGAGCAGGGTGAGACTCAGCTGCTAGGCATCTCCCAGCAGAAGGTGGAGAGGTCTGGGGAGGGAGATCCCAGAAATCTTAGCCTGCTGTCCCTAGAAAGGCCTCCTCTGAGGTTCTGTACAGAAGCAACTTGGTCATATCTACATAGAATACACAGAAGCACTTTAGAGACACCCACGAGTCATACATTTGTGATTATATTTATGTAGATACATGACAATTGTGCAGAGAAAAAGCAGCAAGGAAAAGCAACCCTCCCGGGCATCACTACCCATTAGACTCCAGGGTCCTCACACCACAGAAATGCCTGCATTCAGTTACAGCCCCAGGATCAAACATTGTGTCCCATTAATCAAAACACGCTCATTCAAAGTAAAATGCACACCATGTTTCTCTTAAAACTGTCATTTAGAAAGTAAGATAAGAAGTGTGGATGGTAACATAAGAATTCTCCCTGGTTTTGAAACAGACTGCCATGAAACTAACAACATAGCTCAGGTTTCAAACTTCTGGTAATCCTCCTGCATCAGCCTCTCAAGTACTGGGATGATGGATGTGAGCTTCTGGCATTTTCTTTTAAATCTACAGTTCTGACCCTGAGGTTGCCAGAGGCAGGGAATTAAGGGTGGGAGTATGTTTTTCTGAAGATTCAGGGGCACTCTTCAGATTCATTCATTTCTGATACTGCTGTGCTGTGAGGGTGACAGTGCTCAACAGCTGTGCCACAGAGCGGGGCCTATGGTGGGAGACGGCCCCTGAACAAGTGTCAGAGACATTCACAGGCTTGAAGGAAACTGAAGAGCAGGGGAAGGGTATGTGCGCAGACCAGTGCTGTTCCCAGACAGGCACTCCTGATGTGAAGCACACTAGCTTCGAAGAAAAGGCATTACACAAAGATTTCTATAGAAAAGCTTCTTCTTGTGAGGAAAACACAATTGAACACAATAAAATGCATGTTTTTCTTTAAAAATCAAACAATAGTGTCAATTGTCAAGACATTGATCTCTGCCATTGACAGCTCCAGATGGGGCTAGTCTCTCTCTACCTGGGTCCAAAGTCTCTAGGACTATACAATTCAAGACATGACTTTGCTGAACTTAAGTTCTGCCACTTTCTGCCACCTACCAAAAAGCCTTGGGAACATTCAATGGTCGAAGGGTACACTTAGTGACAGATGGGAACTGTCTCTTTTCTTAAGGCTGATAAATTGACTTTGTGGCGACCTATTGGGTGCACTGAAAAGTTAATCCTCGGACTTCAACATGATCTGAAATACTAACCAGAGATCTTGCCAGGGGCTGAGAGAGGTTGTGAATTCCAGATTCCCAAACTGAACCCAGCTTTGCTGGAGGGAGGCTTGGCAGGGCCATGCAGCGGGTGCTGGGACAAAGCAGATTTTCCTGGGCTGGCTGCCTACTCTGCTGGGGACTGCAGAAGGAATGGGTGCACACAGACTTGGCACACCCTCCTTCAAACCTGGGCATTATAGTCTTCTCTTTGGTGTCAGTCTACAGAGAGCAGACACCCTCTGTCATTTCTGCTGCTTCTCAGTGTCCTCTGAAGGACTGAGAGGTTCACGGTAACGAACTGCCCTGAAGACTCCTGTCAGTCTCAGCTCACTCCCGGAGTTCCCCAGACTGTGTCCACACCTACGTTTTTCTTTGGATAATTTCTTTTTCTTCTTAGACTTTTAATCTCCATATATAGTGCTCTTCTCAATATTTAGATAGAAATATTTTGATAGAAACTTAGGGATTTTAGAGGTAAGAGGACCTCATCTAGAGTCCAGTATCTGCCCTTCCCTACCCTACGTATGAGGGAACTGAGATATGGAGAGGACAGAACCTTGGCTAAGGACATTCAGCAAGTCAGTGGCATAGCATACTTCAGGCCCAGGGACCCCCTCCTTTCCCACCCCAGCGGTGCGCCCTCCTCAGTCAGCCTTTGGCAGGGACTTCCTGTGAGAGGGGGGCACAAGGTGTGGGGGCAGGCTGTTCGGTAGCTCGTAGCCATCCAACTTGATCTTGATGAGGTGCTTGGCCAGGGCAAACTCCTCCTCATCCAGCATGCCGTCGCAGTCACAGTCGGCCAGCTTCCAGATCTTGCCCAGGACACTGTTGGGCAGCTTGGAGGTCACCATTTCCTTCTTGGCATTGACACCTGATATCTTGCCATTGATGGGTGATAGCGTATAAAAGAGTTCATCGTACACAGGCTTATCTTTAGCCACGACCCACTCTTCCTCATCAGCACCCTCCTTGGCCCCCTCCCCATAGCCCTGGTTGAAGGGCCCTTCTGTGGTGCCGTCAAAGGCACCGCCCTGCACCATCTGTGTGGGCATGTTCATCTCTTCCTGGCTGATGAGACTCATCAGGGATGCGATCTTGTTGCTCAGCATGTTGTCCACGGCCTCGATCAGCTTGGGCTTCAGCGAGTGGAACTTGGTGAAGTCATAGTTCTCAAGCTGTTCCTATAGGAGGGGAAACCAGATTTGGCATTATGTTCTCTACAGGAGGCGATGGAGGGAGCTGGGTCTCCCTTGAAGCAGCCATCCCACCACACCCTCTGCCATTCAGAAGAACTCTTTGCTGGGGCTTCCATCTCTAAGTTCACCAAATGGCAGAGGGGCTTAGGAATAAGAAACAAGCTTCAGGAGTGAAATGTGGCTTCTTGTACAGCAGCGCCCTCTCTGGTGGCTGCAGCAGTTACAGTCCCCAAAGACTTTGAAAAATCAAAACAAAACAAAACAAAACTTTCACCTGCCCTAATGCCCTAGAGAATCGGAATGCTCTCACAAAGGTTCTGCTACACACTTCAGTTACTTTCACAGCAATCCCAGGAGTGAAAAAGGACAGTATTATAAACTGGATTTACAATCACATGGGCCATCCAGATGGAGTTAAGACTAGAGTCCACATCTGCTAACTCTTTGCTATGCTTTGCTAAAAAGCTCAGGGACAAGAGGGAGCCATGCCTGACACTGCCTAGATGGTCAGGATCTGGGAGCTGGATGGCTGAGACCTAGAGTAGAACCAAACATAACAACAACAACAACAACAAATCAACAAAATGATTCCTAATAATATTCCACTATAGTCATTGGATCAGTGCCTAGCCCAATTGTTATCAGAGAGGCTTCCTCCAGCAGCTGATGGGAGCAGATGCAGAGACCCACTGCCAAGCATTAAGCGGGCCTCAGGAAATTCTGCAGAAGAGGGGGAGGAAGGATTGTATGAGCCAGAGAGGTTGAGGACATTAGGAGAGCATGATCTACAGAATCAACTAAGCAGGGCTATAGGGGCCCACAGAGACTGAAACACCAACCATGGAGCCTTCATGGGTCTACACCAGGTCTTCTGCACGTATGCTGTGGTTCTTTAGCTTAGGACTCCTAACAGTGGGATAGCGAGGTGTCTCTGACTCTTTTTCCTGCTCAAGAGACCCATTCCTTCTTCTGGGTTTCCTCGTTCAGCCTTGATAAAGAGGGTATATGCCTGGTCTCATTGCATCTTGTTTTTTTTTTGTTTTTTGTTTTTTGTTTTGAGACAGGGTTTCTCTGTGTAGCCCTGGCTGTCCTGAAACTTGCTCTGTAGACTAGGCTAGCCTGGAACTCAGCGATCGACCTGCCTCTGCCTCCCGAGTACTAGGGTTAAAGGTGTGTGCCACCATTCCCTGGATCATTGCATCTTGTTATGCCAAGTTTGGTTGATATCACTGGGAGGCCTGCTCTTTTCTGGAAGGAAATGGAGGAGCACTAGAGCTGGGTGGCGAGGGCTGAGAGGAGGGGAAGGAAGGAGGCTGCAGTTGGGATATATTTGTAAAGAGTTAAAATAAATAAAAACAAATCATTAAAGATTGAAAAAAAAGAACCCTCAAGGGCTGTATTTAGGGAAAAATTCTATTATTTGAGAACTTTGTAGCTTAGCTGTGTGTGGCACCACACACCTATAATCCCAGCACTCTGAAGGTAAAGATTGTAGAGTTGCTGAAAGCTTGAGGCTAGCCTGGTCTACATAGCAAAACCCTGTCTCAATTCCCTGGATCCTTAAGAAAAGAACTTCATTTTTGGATTATTTGAAAATAATACTGATGTAGCCTGGGGCACATGCTCCTTGGCTTTTTAAGAATGAGCCTAGAAGGCTATAGAACCAGAAACCTGCAGGACTCCCCACACAGGCACAGTCTACTGCACTGTGGCTTCCCCAAGAAGGTCCCTGTCAGGGCTGTGGGAATCTCACAGCTGTAGACTAGTCAGTTATTTCAAAAGTAAGCACAAATGAGCACAAGTTGAAACCTAGGATTGGGCACCATAAGCCAGGTCACAATAGGTCTCTACCTGGTCTCTTGGGAGAAGTGGTCTGTCAGCAGAGCAAAGGCTCTAGCGGGGGCTAGGGAACTTAGCTACAGGCCTTCTAGGGTGGAGCCTCCAGCCGGGGAAGAGGGTCACAGAGGCTTTATGGGTAGTGATAAAGAGAAAGCCCTTTCTACCTAGTTTGTCTCTGCTTCCTCACGCATCCACCCACCCACCATTTACCCATCCTTCCTGCAGCCATCCTGTATCCTGCCCTTATCACTTATCACTATTGTTTGCTATGCTTCAGATGCTCTCCTGGGCCCAGGGATGGGCTCTGCTTTAAAGGAGCCTTGGTCATACTGGAGGAAGAAGACACCAGCTGTGCAGGGTCTGTCTATTTCAAAAAAGACTTGTGCAAAAAGGATAACATGAACTATAAAAAGTCAGTAGAAAGGGAGAACCGAGTAATTAGAAGGGAGAAGGGACATGACACCAGGTGTCTGAGGTTAAGGAAGGCTGTTTCCTGCAAGCACGTTTGAACTCAGGATTCTGCGTTCCTTGGATACCAAGGAAGGAGCTCATTTATTTACTACTGTGACAGATGGGACTAGAGTTGAGCTTTCTCTGGCCTTGAACAGAAAGAGTTGCCTAGGTCCTAACATCAGCAGACTCAAAGAACCTCATGTAAGATGGTCTTCCACATTTTTTTTTTCTAGCAAATGCACAAGCATTCAGAGTGTGTATGCATGTGTCTGTGTGAATGGTGTGTGTGTGTGGAGAGAGAGAGAGGGAGGGAGGGAGGGAGGGAGGGAGGAGGTGCATGCCTGTGCACACAAAGATGCCAGGGGCAGTTGTCAGGCATGTCCCTCTATCACTCTTGGCTGACACTTTTGAGGCAGGGTCTTCCTCTGCACCTTGACTTCTGTCTGTTGGGTAGGAGCAAGCCTCAGTGACCTTCCAGTTTCCAGCCCCTTCAGAGGTGGGGTTACAGGCATGTGTGGAACCATGCCCCACTTTTACATGGCTGCTAGGATCCAAACACTTGTTCTTATGTATGCACAGCAGAAGTCTTACTGCAGAGCCATCTATCATTTCTCTACTCAATGGCACAGTTGTTGGTTTTTGTTTTATTTTTTGTCTGTGTGTGTTGCTGGAAATTAAACTTGGGGCCCATTACACATTAGGCAAATGATCAATCACAAAGCTCTATATTCCCAGCCCTCAGTGCAGTTTTATATGTGGGTATTTATGTATGGGCAATTCTGGATGAGAGGGTGTGGAGATAGACAGGCTATTCATTTATGTAGTTTCCTGGAGATAGACAGAGAGATCCCAGAAAGAAGCCAATCTTGGCTATTCTGGAAAAAGCAGTGAGACAGACTTTAAGGGGGGATATATAGGCATGGATCAATACATTCTTTCATTGTAAAACATGTGGAAAAAAATAGAAATTGAAAATAAAGATTTAAGCCAGGAATACCATGTGCCTCTAAGGCCAGAACCTGGGAAGTGGAGGCAGGAGGGTCAAGAATTCAAGGTGAGCTCATGCATGGTGGGAGTGTGGATGCAGGCACAGTGGTGAACACCTTTTATCCCAGCCCTCTGGAAGTAGAGGCAGGTGTATGTGCCTCTGTGAGTTCTAGGCCAATAGGGCTAGACAGTGAGACTTTGTCTCAAAAGGCAAGAAACAAACAAACAAACAAATGGAATTCAGGGTGATGACTAGATAGCAGAACATCCCAAGTTCAGTTTCCAGCACCCAAGTTGTGTGGCTCACAACCACCTGTAGTTCCAGCCTTCTGGGATCCAATATCCTTTTTTAACATCTGTGGATAACTGCACTCACACCCACATAGATACACATGCATACATATAATCTAAATTAAAAAAAAAAAGAATTCCATGGCTCTAGGCCCTACTGCCTCTACCTTTTGAGTGTTGGGATTACTGATGTATGCTACCACACATGGCTAACCTAACCTAGCAAAGTCATTTTGTAGATAGCAATGGAAGCAGTGTCTAACAGAAAACAATAATTGTGATTTTCAGGGTGTGTGGCAGGGCAGGATTCTCTGTTCTTATTTGGAAGAGGAGCCCCAGCACTCAGACTGCAGAGGGGTCAGAGCCAAAAGATGACTGCCTATCATGTCTTCAGATGTGGCCCAACACACTTGCAGACAGGCAGCATTGTGCCATCTAACCTGCTATGCTGAAACCTGGCAGTCTGCACCTGGTTGAGCACTTAAGTCAGGCAGTCTGGCTTCTAAAATGAGTTCTGGCTTCTGGGTCCCACATCCTCACTGGTTGATTAGAGCTACAAGGGCATCTTCTCCATCCTCTGCACCATACAGTGCTACTAACACTCAGGACTTCTGCTGACAGTGTCGTAGTCAGCTGAGAGGACAAAAGGGGCCAGTTGAGGAGGAAGGTTATAGGCCCTCCTACATAAAAATTCCAATGCTACTGGGTAAGAGGTCTGAATTCCCTTGGGTGCAGGAACACCTACCCCATCCCTGGGAAATGAGTCTGAGCACACTGGGTCCTTGTGTCTGCTCAAACTGTCTACCAGCCTGCAGAGTACAGAGATTCTGATGACAGTTATATGAAGAAACAAAGGGCCAGCGGCTACAATTTTGCAGGAACTACTAGACAGCAGAGGCTATGTCTGCCCAGAAAGCACATAGGAAATAAACTCTGGTCCATGTGGGGGACAAGCTATTTTCCTCCTGAAGAGCAAGTCTAAAACAGCAATCTTTTTTTTTTATTGGATAGCCATGCAGTCGAGATTTAATGAGATCAACAACTGTACCACTGGGCCCAGGATCGTGGGGCTGGAGTCAGTTCTCAGCCCAGTCTCAGGATGGGTTATCCTTGTCCAGTTACTAACAAAGTTCACCAGAGCAGTTTTCAAACGTGTGGTAGGGACAAGCAGATGGGGATGGCTCTGCTGCCCTCTGCTGTTAAAACATGGTAACTCAGCCACACGGGGGTCAAATTCTTCAAGAGTAAGCAGTTAACAGTATAGTGTTTCTAGCATTCTCAAGCTGCAGGGCAGTCTTTGCACAATAGGCCAGCGTCCCTTGGGACAAGACACAGGACAGACACAAAAACACGCACTTGGCTCACTGTGATAGATGTGAGAATCTCCTGACCAGGGAATTCTTGAGAGGGAGAACATAGACCAAAGCCTGCTGTGGTGAACCCTCCTCATGACCCTCAATATGCCCAGTTTGTGACTGTTATTTCCCAGCCATAGCCTCTGCCTCTGACCCACACATAGCTGGTGTTAACTGAATGCCTGTTGCTGAGGATGGCAAATCCTCAACAGCCTCAGGGAAAGGTACATGCTCAGCATTCTAGATCAGCAATTCTCAACCTGTGGGTTGCAATCCCTCTGGGGGCTGCATATCAGATATCCCACACATCAGATGTTTACATTACAATTCATAACAGTAGCAAAACTACAGTTGAGAACCACTGTTCTAGATGAAGGGGAAGCAGAGTGAACATGGCATGGGTACTGGACTCTGGAGTTACAGTCTTATGAAGACACAATGAATCACAGACATGAAGTCACTAATTACACTGAAACCCACAGCATTCATGTTGCAGCAAGGGTGTGTCACCAGGGCAAAGACTAAATTATTCTTCCTCTTATCTTAAATGTCTGCCCATTGATGTATTCCAGGGACTAGGACAATGATTGGGCACAGTAATTAACATTTTCCTGGATGAATGACTAAATGAGCACACATGAACATGACATCTCTCAGGTTGGGGCTCCTTGTTCTGTCCCAAGGCACTTGGGCTCACTGAAGATACTCAATGTGGGTACTGACCATAGGGACTCTCAGTATAGGCTTCCACTTACCCCAACTCCTGTTGAATGGGCTGCACCTGAGACTCTGATTTCCCTGACTCCTTCCCCAGGATTATTCCTTGCCCCAGCTCTGAGAGGCCTGGCTATGCTCTGGCCCAGATGAGTTTTCACAGACAGCTATCATTCTGGAGTCTGCTCTGTTATGGGAGCTCACCTACAGGCCACATGAGAGCCCAGAGGGGCTCAGCAGAGCTTCAGAGTTTCAGAGAGTTACCATGTGGTGTGGGCAATGTAACAACAGCCAAAGATTGCATATATGTGGTGCCATAGCATATGGTGGGTATTTATTCATGGTTTTCACTTAAGCCAACATACTAAGTTCCCTTATGAAAGGTACAAGGAAATAGCTGTCTTGTAGTTGAGCCATGGGATACAGGGCATAACCTAAGTATAAAAGAAAAAGTCTCAGCTGGGCAGTGGTGGCGCACACCTTTAATCTCAGAACTCAGGAGGCAGAGTCAGGTGGATCTCTGTGAGTTCAAGGACAGCCTGGTCTACAGAGAGAAAGAGTTCCAGGATAGCCAAGGCAACACAGAGAAACCCTGTCCTGAAAAACGAAAACCAAACCAAACCAAACCAAACCAAACCAAACCAAAACAAAAAACCCAGTAGTCTCTGGGAGACAACTAACCACAAGTCCTCAAGTTTCCTCCTACTGGTTGCCTTATCCCCCCTGATATGAGGGTTTGTACCTAGTCTTATTGCATCTTGTTATGCTATATTTGGTTGATATCTCTGGGAGGCCCGCTCTTTTCTGAAGGGAAATGGAAGAGCAGCAGATGGGGGTGGTGGGTGTTGGGAGGAGGGGAGGGAAGGGAAGCCGTTGTCAGGATGTGCTATATGACAGAATAAATTAAACAAAGAAACAAAAAACTTGGCTAGATCCTATGACCAGATCATACCAGAAGCACCCACCTTAACCCTAGGCATAAAGAGCTGCCACCAGAACAATGAGTCTAACGCCACTTCCCCTGCTCTGCACCAGCATGTCAGTGTTTCATTTATTAAAGCTGGCCTCACCTCTACTTTGTCCACTCCCTTCCTCCTCCTCTTCTCTCTGAGACCCAACCTTAGCCATACTCTCACTTGAGCCATTCTCTGTGGCTTGTGTGGCTTGGAGTGAATGATATAATGGTTGGTCTCAGGAAAAACCCATGTTTAGTCTATCCAGTTTTTGAAAATTCGAGACCAAATTTGAAAGGTGATTTACATACAACTCTAGACTTCAGCTCCTTATGCCCACGAGGGTTCATATTCCCACAGGACAGTGACAACGACATCCCCACATAGGTGGGTGACTCACAGGACCCCAACAAGCTCCTACTCTGCAACTGCAGAATCATTCTCCTTGTAGATCTTGGAGATATACTCAGGGACCCACTAGATATGACAAGCAGGCAGAGATGACATGGCCACCTCTTCATCTAGCTATATAGCTGGTAGCTGTAGGTCCCTGAGCTCATGTCATCTGCTTAATAGAGAGGACTGAGCCCTGTGTAGATGTGTGCTACACTAGACAAGAAGATCATGACCTTGTTCAGAAGGACACTCCATCACTGTGGGGCAGTGGACACTGGATACTGGACAGGCCATAGCAGCTGAATGCAGACCCATTATGGCTTGCCTGGAACTGCCCAGAGCTAATGGGGGCTAATGGGAGATTCTAAAATCAGGTTGGAGGCCACCACTACCAGCCTTTCAGCAGAACTCTTGCTGAACACAGAAAAGTAGTGCTGTGTCCAGAGCCCCAGCTCAGTGCTTAGCATCGAGCCTGTCCAAGGATACTCCCTCACTGTATGGCTGCAGGAGCTATCCAAAGTGATCTTCAAAGACAAGCCCAGCTCTAATTCCCTTCAGGTTCTGGGATTGTGAAAACCAGGGGTCACCTCAATCTCAAAGACAACTCTGAGGATGTCTATGAGGCCAAGCTGTATCTCTTTCTCATGTGAGTTTCACTGCCCTTTGGCTAATTGTCTCACCTTTAAAAAGATATTCTGGAAGGCAAACAATGTTTGCTTTAGTCATAGGAGGCCATCATCATGGGTCACCATTAAGAAGATGGCTTCATTGCATTCTCCTTTATTAAACTGTGAGACTTTCTTATATTCCCTGTGACCAGCTAGGGATTGAGGCAAGGAATTGTAGTACCCCAACCTCCTCGTGACACTGTAATGGGACTTCCAGTACCTGCATGGCCTTGACCTCAGGGAAGTCCCCCGCGGAAATCTGGTATTCTCGCTGCAGCTGAACATAGATTTCTGGAAGCCTGAAGATAAGTTCTCGCTTCTTATTTTCTTTTCCAAATACATTTGGCATTTCCTTCTTCAGGTAGCTGATGATGTAGGCATGTACCTGAGGGGAACATGTCAGGTGAGCACACACCACACTACTTGAGAGAAGAGATTAATGAGACCCATTCCCATGCAGAACTCTGGTTTTCAACCGCAAGAGAAGGTGAGGATCCAGGAGCCAGGCAGCCTAAGGGGAACTGGAATGTACCACCCGAGCTCTGAGGAGCTGGTCTGAACCAGGTAAACTGAGAGCCGGACCTGAGGAAGGGCCAGAGAGACCAGATATGCCGAGACCATGCAGTGGTGGTGAGCACGGAGAAGAACCCACATCAAAGGCTGGTAAGGGGGAGGGCATAGAAAGACAACGGGGGGGGGGCGCTGAATGTGACAGACACAGGATATGGAATGACAGGGCAAAGAAGTGACATCTGAGTTGGGCCTTGTGAAGAACGGCAGGAGATGCAGTGAGAAGAGCAAGATGGGGTGCTAACAAGCTGGGTGCGAATTTGGGGCTGTATCACGCACATGGTCTGGAGGTGGGAGAGGCGGACTGCATCCAGACCTTGCTTAGCAGGCATGAGGAGCCACTGGAGGATTTGAAGTGAGGCTCTGTGGACCTAATGCTTGCACTAATGATGGTTCTCCAGGGCCAGAGAGGCCAGAATGATGGCGACTGGTGGGATGCCTAGCTGAAAACTAGGTGGGGTGAGTTACAGAGAATGTTCCTGGGGATTGTGTCTTCAAGTCTACTCCCAAGAAAGGGCAACTGACTGTAGCCTCTGAGTGGTGATTCTGGTGTCTGGGCAGGAAGTGAGCAGGCCCTGAGCAGGGAAGATCTCCACTGTGTCTAGCCAGAAAATGTAGAGAAAGTTTCACCTGTGGCCTGAGAGCACCAGGAAGCAAAACTGGAGGCTGATTGTAGTTTATCTATACAGGAATGGTGCCCAGTGAGCAATGAAGTAAGAATGATCAATGGGCATATCTCAATGGGCACAATGCTGAGATCTTCACTGGTGGTGCTAAGTGATTTTTGTATGAGACCAGTTGCACGGGACCAGGCTGAACAAAAAGCTCTCTCTGGGGAGGAAACCCGGATACATGAGTGGAAAGCTCCCAAACCCCTAAGGAGGGTACTGTACTATCCTGTCTGGCCTGTCACACCCTACTCTGTTTTTCCATTCTTCCACTTAACTTCTAACTTAGGTCAATAAGTTGTGTTCATCACAAAAGTTTTCTTTATAGAACTTCAAACCTACAGAGCAATTCAAAAGCCAAATAAACAGCTAAAATAGGAAAGGATGGAAAACAGAACAATAATTAAAAAAACCCACACAGTTATGTAGACTGGAAAATGCCACTAAAGATAATAGATTTGATTAGAAGCTTAAGGAAGAAGGAAATTGGAGAAAGTAAGCAGATGCATCCCACAGCTTGGCTGAGGGCCTCTGGGTATGCATGCTTACTGGGTGGGCCCACAGAATCTGAACAGTAATGTAAGCACAGGCAGTGTGCAGACACCATCTGAAAATCTACACATGATGTGCTATATGGCTATTGCTTAGGGACTTCTCTAAAGGTGGTTAACTGTAGGGTTATAAAAACTATTAACTCAAAATCAAGCTTGTGATGAATCCGAGGTGTTTCTCACTTGCCCCTGTGGTCCTGTGTGGCTTCATAGCAGCTTTGGTTCTGAACATACAATGTGTTAGTTTGCACTATGCATGATGCCACAATAAACTGTCTGAAATACCTCTGTTCAGATTGAGACTGTTGTTTGTAGGTTTATGGTAATAATTTTTTTTCAGCTAATGTTGGGCTAATGTTGGTAACTCATGTCTGTAATCTCGGGCCTTAGAAAGCTGAGACAGGAGGACTGTAATGGGTTAGGCCAGCCTGGGCTACACAGTGTTCCAGTTAAGTCTGGGCTACTGAGTGAAACCTATTTTCCCTTCTGTCCTTGATGAAAAAAAATTGAATAATAAATCCAAGACCCAGACTCATTGGTTGAGAAAAGTGTGAGGCTGAGAGAGGCAGCCAAGTCCTACTGAACAAGGGCTTGTTACTCTGTTCAGATCAAAGCTGGCACCAGAACCACGTGTGATTCTCACAGTCTCAGAAGGACTTAAGGGGGCCTTTAAAGCATCTGAGGTCAGCCTTCAGAGAGACAGGTTTCCATATATAGGCGTGGGCACTGACAGCCACAAAGCCCAGGCAGGGATGGAGCTATTTTTATGCCTTGCAGTGGATAAGCATTAAAGGGCTCATCATTACATGCTGAACAGTGATTCTCACACTCTTCAGCTTGTATCTGCCTGATGAACTACAGGATGCCTAACTTCTCAAATGAGGAATTTGACACTGCAAACAGGAAAGCCAGGCCCTGCATATCACATGTGACTAAGAGGAAAAGTGCATCTTTGAAAAGCAAACTAAATTCCACAGAACTCTTGTGACCCCTGAAAGTCACTGAGCTCTTCTCTCTCATTTTCCACTACTCCTTCCTCAAAAGCTGCTTTATTTTCTTATTGAGTGATGCTCTCCACATGGGTGGGGGCCTTTCCTAACCTCGTGCGGAATGGGGTCTCATAGTACACCTGCCTCGCTTTTGGTTTTTGTTCATCTATCTCATAAAGGATTATAGAAGAATAAAACTACATTCTATTTCCCAAACTCACATGTGGGCTTTCCGAAAACAGCTCTTACTCTGAAGAATCATGCCATAAACTGACTGGCATCTCAGAGCAAACAGACTTCTGGCAGGCCACCTCCCTCTGATAAAAGGTGAGGAGTCAAGGAGGCTAACCCAGAGCACATGAAGGTTTCTTGTCCCTTAGAAGATAGCTTTGAAAACACACAAATAGAAAAGACAGCAAAGTTACCCAATTTCCAGGCTTTTGTTTTGTATTATTAAGATCCTGTATTACTGTGAGAGTGATCAGAATAAAAAACACAGGCCACAGAGCCCCAAGGAAGCCAGGAGAGGAACATGGGGTACTTAGAGCCCTCAGAGGATGTGTGGATCTACTGTGGTTTGCAGACTATGAGAATTTATTTATATCATTCAGTGTATGGTAAAGCAGCCCAGGACACTTACATATGCTCTCTAATCTAGTCTTTTCAGATTCTTCCATGTTGTTATGCTTATCAATATTTACTCTTCTCGATTACTGATGCCATTATATACATCAGCCATTGGGTGGTTTCCACATTTTGGCTATTCTAAATGAAACTGCTATGAGTATTTTTAAAAAATGAGGATACATTTGTGTTCCCTAGGTGGGCCATGAATTCTGTAACCATTATTCCATCAGCAAACTCAGATCTCAAATCTCAGGTGATACCTGAAAACTTTTTTTTTTTTTTTTTCTGAGACAGGGTTTCTCTGTATTTCTCTGTATTGGATCCTGTCCTGGAACTTGTTCTGTAGACCAGGCTGGCCTTGAACTCACAGAAATCCACCTGCCTCTGCCTCCCAAGTATTGGGATTAAAGGTGTGCATCACCAATGCCCATCGATACTTGAAAACTTATCTATCACATATTCTAAAATGTCCCTCATAGGTTTTCTGCAGATAGAGAATTTTCTAGAATAAGTAGAATTACAGATTAATATATAAAGCAAGAGTACAAAGTAAGGAGATATTGCAGATTCTGTTTACACTGGATATAAATCAAGACTTCTTGGACCAAGCAGACTACCTGGGCTTGGGACGTGTATTTTGTAATATTCCCAGGCTGTCAATCTGTTCCAGGAAGTTATATTGCCTTTCTGAATGTCAGGATAAGGATGTCCACCTGTCAATTGACATGATCCAGCAAACATTTTTCATTTTTCGCTGCAAAAGAAAACTGGGCCAAGGGAAAGATGACCATACCCAAACAAAAGCATTATAAGGAAATATAAGCAGTGTTTTTTTTTTCTGCTTACCCTTTCCCCACATTTATTTTTGCTTGCGTTTTTTTTTTTTTTGGCGGGGGGGGGGGGGGAGAGGGATAGGATCCCACGTAGCCCAGGCTAACCTCAAGCTTACTATGTGGCTGAGGATGACCTGGAGCTTCTGGGTCTCTGTCTTGTTGGGACTGCAGGTATGTACATCATAGCTGATCTGTGCAGTGCTGGGGATCAAGACTAAGGCTCTGTGTGTGTGAGGCAAGCACCCTACTAACTGAGCTACACCCCCAGCCTGCTCCTTCTTCTTTAAGAACAATAAATGACAAAGCTCTAAAGTGGGACATCAAACTGCAGCTGGAGAACTTGGGGTACAGCTCCATAGAGCACCCATTTAGCATGTGCCACCTTAGGGGCCAAGGCCATTGTGTTCAGTTCTGCTTCTTATCCAGCCCAGGCAGCTTCCTGTCCTAATGCTCAGCTGGTATTGCAACATACCACGTGCAAATGGCCCTGGGGAGCCAGTGATGGAAGTGGATGTGGCTCAAACATTTTCCTCTGTGAGAAGGAACAAGCCAGATACTATTCTTAGGAAGAAAAGAATATGCTATTTCTTTTCCTATAAGTAAGCTCAGCAAATTTGACCTTCCGCCCCCCACATCTGCACAAGGGTTTTCATTATTCAGAGTCAAACACAGAGGCATTTTGTGTCTCACTAACCTAGGCCATGTTGGTCTGCTCCAAGGGCCGATGCTCAGGAATGGCAGGGAGCATTATAGGCTGTGGTGCTAGGCATTTCCAGCCAGCTCTCTCTTCATATGCATATCCATAATCACTCTCCTTCTCTCTCTCCAGCTCTCTCTTTATATTCATTCTCATTCCATTCTCCCCGAGCCTCCCCGCCACCTTTTTTTTTTCTATAACGGAATATAGCTGTATCTTCTTCAGTCACTGGCCCCTCAACAGTGATTGGTAAATTTAAAATGTTCATGGACATTAAATCCCATGAAATTTGCAAAGTCTACACGAGCTACTAGCTTTGGTTAGAAAATAATTTAGGCTGGTGGTGGCGTATGCCTTTAATCCCAGGACTAGGGAGGCAGAGGCAGTGAATCTTTGAGTTCGAGGCCAGCTTGGTCTAAAGAGCAAGTTCCAGGACAGCCAGAGGGGTCACAAAGAGAAACCCTGTTTCAAAAAAAAAAAAAATGGCAAAACTAATTTAGACTTTTGCATACCATGAAATTAAATTCATTTATAACAGCTAGAAAAGAGAGATACCATGTGCCAAAGGGTCATTGAACAGGCAAGACCAGACAGACTTCCTGCGATCAACCACGCATTAGACCCAGGGTAGTGAGCCTTTCAGGAGAACTGCAGGTAAGTAGTTTACAAACGATGTTAGAGCAACTGCCTTGCAGGAGTGGAACAAAGTGGCTTTGAGTTCTGAGAGGAAGTAGTTTATACCAGGAAGAAAGGGTGGAAAGTAGTGACTCACATAGCACCCTTCGGGTTCAAGTTAGCTTAGTGACACAGGGAGGAAAGTGTATATATACCCTGGGGTGTAAGAAAGGGAACCAGAGGTTGTGGTACTGTGGGGGGGGAGGGGGGACACAGGCAGCCAGGGGCAGGTCTCCTCAGACACAGGAGCATGCACATTTGGCTGCAGCATGCAGATAACTACTGAGGAGAAGTGAGGAGGCTAAGGGCACCATCCTCTGAGTGCCACACGGGCAAGTACATTCCTTCATCAGTACAGTTCTTCACTCTATAAGGGTGCTCTGAGCCTCCTTCCTCCACCAGATGGACCCTTGAGCTCTGGCCTGGACATGCTTTTATCTGTGTCTACCAAATGAACCATAGCGTGGTGGACTCCAGAAGGCTGCGCACCCAGGCCAGCCTGAAAGTCAGGATGCAGGAGACTACTTTCCCCTGCTTTTTTTGTTTGATACCAGAAGACCAAGAGAAGAAGAGTTGACTCCATTTCCTCACCAAGTTTCAGTAGGTGTAGATCAGTCTGTGTAGCCCTGGCTAGCCTCAAACTCATAGAGATTCACCTGCCTCTATCTCCTGAATGTTGGGATTAATGGTGCAGCAAGATTATGGTGATTTTTTTTTTTTTTTTTTTGGACAGAATCTTACTATGTAGCCCTGGCTGGTCTGCAATGCCTATGAAGACCAGGCTGGCCTTTAAACTCACAAAGATCCACCTGCCTCTGCTGCCTAAGTGCTGGGATTAAAGGTGTGCACCAATCACATTCTCTCCCCTGAGCCTTCTGGGATGGAACTGACCACTATACAGGAGATAGCAGTACAATCCAATACCAGCCTCAGGACCCACCCTGTCATCTAATGCTTACTTTGGCCAGCCGTGCTCGCTTGATGAGGTCGTTGAGTTTGCGCACTGCAGCCTTCTGGGGCAGGCTCTGGATGTCTCTGAAGAGGTCCTGTGCCTCAGCCTCGAAGAGCCGGCGGTTGTCTGTGTTCTGCAGAGGCTGTGCCCAAAATGAGCCAATGTAGACTCGAAGTACCTCAGGTGTGTTGATGACCTTGCCCAGAGACCACATGAGGGCCCCATAGACTCGCATCAGCTGCTGTGTGTCCACTTGGTCAGCCTTGTTCAATACCACTCGAATTTTGTCATCCTGGCCCCGGAAGGCCTTGATCGCCTCTGAGAACTCATCTGAGATGTCCAATTTGTGAGCATCAAAGAGTAGGATGATTCTGTCAACCCTCTCAGCAAACCACTGTAGGACCTGGCAGAAGTCATACCCTGGATGGAGAGAAGGGTGTTAGTGTGCTGAACACTTTGAGGGACATGGTTGTGGGAGAGCTCCAGTAAAGAAGAACACTGAATCTGAGGCAGCAGAGACGATGACCTGAAAACCATTTCACATGAGGTCCCCTGGGATAGATGTGTGTAGTTAACACTGGGGATCTGGCACCCTTCCATGGAAAGGGTCAGAAGGGGTCTCTGGTCAGTTTGATGAAGCACCACATGTTGGCAGATCTACTTGGTACTCATGATTCTGACTTCACCTAGTACAGGTCTTTGGATTGGTGGCAGAACTGACCTCCAGTCTTGACACTGAGGCCATGGGCTAAAGGTTCGCTCTTTGGACAAGTCTTACTGTTCAGAAAGCATCTGAGATGAAGAAGGAAGAGAGCCCGGAGGCCACCTGCAGGTTCCAGGGTGTCCAGCAAGCATGGGAATGGAGGAATTTGTTTTAGCCCACGTTTATAGAGTGCTGAGGAGGCCAAGGGTTGTCTGGGAAAAGTTGTGACTGATATTTATCATGAAGATTATTTATAGCTTAAGTGTGTTTAAAAAGTATTTTAAAAATCTGTCACATATGGTCATTTGCCAATTTCCTTTTTAAAATGAACAGGGCCACAACAAATTCCACTGAGTATGTTTGGCCACCTACCAATCTGTCCCAAATCAAGCAGTTAAGTAAACACTCTTCCTGAGGTCAAGACTTTTAGCCATCTCCCCCAAGGAAGCAGGTTCCCAGGAGAGGCACACAAGGAGGCCAGTGCCCAAATAATTTCAATAATTTCAAACTCATGTCAAATCTAGTAAATAATGTGATGAGTGCTGAGGTAGCTACCACATAATTTTAACATTTTACCTTGCTTACTGCAAATACTTTTTAAAAATCAAGCTTGGTTTATTCGGATAACAAAATACCAGACAGCAAAAAGAATAAACTAGATCTTCACCTGTCAGCACAGATGAGTCTCTACAAACAAACATGCAACAACAACACAACAAAACACCCTTGGGGGTAGTTTCTGGAGAGATGGTTCAGTGGTAAAGAGCACTGGCTGTTCTTCCAGAGGACCCGAGCTTGGTTCCTAGCATCCACATGGTACCTAATAACTGCCTTAACTCCAATTCTAGGAGATCTGACATCACCTTCTGGCTTCCATGGGCACTGCATTATACCGTTGCACAGACTTACATACAAGCAACCATTTGTACATATAAAACAAAAACAAATCTTAAAAAGAAAAATGCTACTCTCCATAAACAAGTAAGTGTTGAGTAGAAATTGATTTCAAATAGATGAGTAATGTCAGACGCGGTAGCTCATATGCAAGATTCTATCACTTGAGAAGTGGAGGCAGGAGGATTGCTACAAATCTGAGGTCAGCCTGGGTTACAGAGTTACCCTCCTCTCAAAAAAATTTAAAAAAGATGACTATAGAATGGTGACATTGACATAAAATGTTAAATACCGGGCAGTGACCAGCATCCTGTGGATATACTGCAGCAAAGCCCAAACTGTTAGCACCAACCTAGGATGCTGGCTGGGGATGGAGTTATGGGTCCCAAGGCAGGTGAGGAAGTACCCAGGGAAGAATGATCTTGTAAGACAAATGAAGAGGCGTGTGGACTAAATTTTTCACCCTTTGAAAAATGGGTATAAGGGGAGAAAATATACAAGCAAACTAGAATTAGTAATAAGTTTATTTTGTTTGTCTGTTTGACTTTGAAATAGGTATTATTATATAAGTGCCAAAGGAAGCTTGTTGTCCTTGTGGATAAGTTGAAAGAGCAGCATTGCTAATGTTGGCATATGGTGGCTCTTCCTCTCGGGCCACCTCAGTTGATTACTGTGAAGCAACATGTATTAAATTATAGTCTAAATTAAAAGGCCGGGTGTTGGTGGCTCAAGCCTTTAATCCCAGCACTCGGGAGGCAGAGGCAGGAGGATCTCTGTGAGTTCGAGGCCAGCCTGGTCTCCAGAGTGAGTGCCAGGATAGGCTCCAAAGCTACACAGAGAAACCCTGTCTTGAAAAACCAAAATAAATAAATAAATAAAAATTTATGATTTGTAAACAATAATATTCTGGTCTGGGGATGTAGCTTAATGATAGAGCACATATGAGGACTTGGGTTGGATCCTTAGGTGCAAACACACTTACACACACAAGGAGATAGGTGGATGGATGGATGGATGGATGGATAGATAGATATAGACAGATAAGATAGATAGACAGACAGACAGACAGATAGATAGCTAGATCAAGTACAGAAGCAGTGAGCAGCTCTCAGTGCTATCCTGCTACTGGGAACAGAGCTGCTATGCAAGTTCACTCTAGGTGAAGCCATTACACATCTCTGGAGGAATGGCCCCTGTCCAAGTTTCCTCTTATTAAAGTAACAATGGGAATCAAGAAGTGCAGGAGGGTAGAGCTGTAGTTTTGTGTCACTAAATAGGTAAAAAGGACTGCTTGTCACATGCCAGATGATACCATCAAGAGTAGAAACCACTGAACATCTCAGAAGAGAGCACAGAGTATTCAAAAGGGGGAGCAGTTGGTTTGCTCAATTTTGCCATTTCAGTCATTTTGTAAGGCTCTAGTTCACTGGCATCTAATATGCTCTTACTGTTGTACAATCACTATCACCCATTTCCTAAACTTTTTCATCTTTCCAATTAAAAATTTAACCCATTAAATAATACTTCTCTATTTCCTCTATAAGGCATAGGGAGCTTGAATGAGCGAGGTCCTGAGAGAATGTGTGCTATTGACATGAGCTGGCCATGTCAAAGACCCCAGAGCCTTAGACCCACAGAGGCATGGCAAAGCCTCCCCACTGGGGTGAGGTCTAGAGGCATGGCAAAGCTTTCCTTGGATGAGAGAGAAGAAATGCAAGTGTTGACAGTATGTTTAGAGTATGTGCACCATAGCTCCCCACCACCCAGCGTTTATGACCTGAAGCCTGCTCCCTACAGAGACTGTTCCTGCAGAAGAGAAGTTAGCTAAACTCATCCCCTTGATCCAGCCGTGTACCATAAACCCTGCCTACTTGTTTATCTGTATGCAATAACTCAATCTTCTTGTTAGCTGTATTCAATAACTCTGTATTTCTGTTAAACTGGATATAATAAGCACACTGAGCTTCCAGGGTGCTGTGGTTTCTCCAGCCAGGAGAGCAGACTACCCAATCCCATTTTTTTTGTGTGTGTATCTGGCTGTGTTTGTCTTTTCTTCATTCGCTCACTACCTCAGTCAGGACCATTCCTGGAGCTGTGCTGGATGCAGAATCCCCCATCTCCCCAATTTCTTGGAACAGCATTCTCCTTTCTAGGTTTATAAATGTGACTATTGTCAGTGCTATGTATAAATGAAACATACAGTACTGTCCTTTGTAACATGGCACAATAAAAAAATCATTTAGATTATAGTGTGTGTGTGTGTGTGTGTGTGTGTATGTGTGTGTGTGTGTGTGTGGTATATGTGGAGGAAAGAAGACAATATAAAGTGTCCTGCCTGCTTGATCACTTCTTGCTTTATTCCTTTGGGACAAGATCTCTCACTCAACCTTATTTTATTTTATTTCTCAAGACAGAGTCTTGACTGGCCTGTTGACCAGGCTGTGCTGAACCTCACAGGTATCTGCCTGTCTCTGCCTCCAGAGTGCTAGAATTAAGGGCATGTGCCACCATGACCCTAAAGATTTTTATGTTTGTTTGTCTGTGTGCACTCGTCTGTGTGTGTGTGTGTGAATGCCACATGTGTGCAGGTGTCTATGGAGGCCAGTGGAGGGTGTCCGATCCCTTGGAGCTGGAATTCAGGCTGTTATGAGCTGCCCAAGGTAGGTGCTGGGAACATAGAACTCAGGGTCTCTGGAAGAGCAGGATGTGCTCTTAACCGCTGAGTTATCTCTTCAGTACCCTTCTTTGGTTTATAAATTCTTTAACGACAGGGACCACCTTCTTCACAGCTGCACACATTGTTGTGGGCAGTGTGGGTTTAGACACAGAAGTGCCTTGAATCTAACCCTGCTTACATCATAGTAGGTTTGTGACTTTGTGCAAATGGCCTAATTTCTGTTACCTCATTTGTAAAATGGAGCCCACAACAGTACCCATACCTTTTAGGGCTGCAGTCTTAACATATGAGGCATTTAGAATCATCTTAGCACTTAGAAAACTGTCCAGAATATTATCTACTAGTTATAGTAAAAAAACCCAGAATTTTATATCCAGTGCTTGAGGCACAGTGAGGTCACAGTAAACGGCTGTCAAAAGATGATTGGCTACGGTGAAATATAATCTAGATCTAGAGAAAGAGGATATTCCTGAGGGACTTTATAAAACTCAGGTTGCTAACTTTGTCCAGCCCCAAACTGAAACAATCCAGCCACCTCTTAAAAGGCTTGTAAAAAGGGATACATGAAACACGGGCCCACCCCTGACACATGAACTAGAGTGAAGGAAGCCAGTTACTAAAGAGCACACACTAAGCAATTTATCTACATGAAATTCTGGGACAGGCAAAATTAGACATCAGTGCTGCCTGCAGCAGGGGTGAGGCTGGGACTAAACGACTGGAACAAGGTGGGACCTTCTAGGGGTGATGGAGTTCTATCCTTTGATGAAGGTAGTGGCTACATGTGTGCACACATTTGGTACAACTTTCCAAACTGCACAGTTACAAGAGATACATTTTATTATAGGTTATATGAACATACACATATGCATACATGTTTGAAGGCTGCAGAAATTGCATAGCAACATCCTCCTTTGGTGCTCAAGATATTTTTTTAAACATTCATTTAATTGTTTTTAGACTTATTTTATGTATATCAGTGGTCTGCCTGCATGTACGTATGTGCACCATGCATATTCCTGGTGCCCATGCAGATGAGAAGGTGGCACCGGATCCTCTGGAACTGGAGCTACCAATAGTTGTGAGCCACTATGTGGAAGCTAGGAACTATGTGTGGGTCCTCTGCAAGAGCCATAACTGAGCTCT